CCAGAAATCAAAGAAAATAAAATAATAATAATAATAAATATTTGTCTTTTATTTGTTCGCATTTGGCTACAGGGGGACAAATCCGACCATGTTCTCTCTGATGACGGTTTCTTTTTTTTGGGGTGGGTATTCAAAATATTATTTTTTTGTGGTGGTGCTGGGGGGTGGCTAGGATGTTGAGAAATGACCCCAAATGTAAAATTTATTTTGTTTCTCTTCCTTGTTTAATGAATTCTTTGGTGACCCTTCCGCTCCCTTTTAGTGGTGGTGGTGGTGGGAGTGGGGTGATCTACCCTATAAAACTTAATAACTATCATTCTCATCTGCGTCGGAAAGTTGAACATTTGTCGGATGTCCGCCTTTCAATATATAAGCGACGCTAAATTTTATACAATTTGAAATTAAATTTTTTCTCTAATTTTATTTTAAGTGTCTTTGACTTTATTTAACTTTAATTTTTTTATGATAACCCTCGATGGACAAGTATGTTCACCTCTGAAATTCTATCTGGTTCCTGTCAGTGCGTCTTATACTAAGTTAAAACTTATTATACTCAATGCCATTTCCTTACCCCCTATGGTACCCTACTTCGTACAGTACTTGATGATGATCTCTTGAACCATGGATATTTATAAGCCCCAACCTATCTCATGAGCAGGACGAGTTCTTTAGCCTTGGTCGACAATTACTTAGAGGTGTTAATTTGAACCAAATTATACCTTGGCGGTCAAGGATAAAACGCAAAAAATTACAAATCTAATTGATTATCTACAAATACTTATTCATATCGGATGGGCCGTCACCATGGTCAATAAGAACCGCCTACATCAGAGAGGAACCAGTCGAAAAATCTGCCACTGGAACAAACTATTCCAACAATTTAGAGACACCTGATGACCAAACGCGGACTCTTTCCAACCTTGGACCAAGTGACTGAATGCCAAATCAACTAATCAAAAGAAAGCGAACGAAATGGTCACGCGAAGAGTATCAACAAGTCATGATATCTCTTTTCACTACACTCGAAAATCTACAAAAGACTATCACGGATCGGACATACCAAATATGGAGAGCTATGGTAGGAAGTGGAATAAGACCTCATCTCGGCCTCATCTCGACCTCACCCCGGCCTCATCTCGACCTCACCTCGGCCTCATCTCGACCTCACCTTGGCCTCATCTCAACCTCACCTTGGCCTCATCTCGACCTCACCTTGGCCCAAACATGCTTGCTAATATCTGCAAGGACATTGTGCGAAACAAAAGACTCTTAAATGCAAAAATAGACCAGATAAAACTAAATATAAAACAACATACAGTGACCTATCATCACTCAGACAATAAAGAGATGAGAATAGAAATAAATAATATGACAGAGGATAAGGGAAAAGAATAACATAAATGAGATACGAAATAATAATCTCCCAGGAAATAATACCGAGGAATCTACCTATGACATAACCTGGACATATCCAGATTATGTCACTGGAGAGGAGTTCAAATACATAAGGGTAGATTTCCTTGAAAACAACAGAGGTGAAATCGTCGAAGCGAAAAAACCACATCATCCAAGTACTCAGCAGAGTAACTCTCACACAAATGTTAGACAGAGACAAGCTCCCAAAAATTTCATATGACAAAGTCAAATAAGCTCAAATATACAATGCTACACTGAAACACTGTCAACTGGGAAACATCAGAGAAATTAACAATGTCATAGACGCAACAGCTTTAGCGGCTAATGGGAAGCGTGTGGGTCAAGACAATGAAAAGATGAAACAAAAGGCAAAAAGAGCCAGCTTGGAAGGCAAAACAGATGCGAGAAATAAAAGAAATCACGTGTGAAATATCGATACAAGACGAGATCACAAGAAAACTAAATGTCTCAACACGTAAATGCTGGAAGATCAAGCCGAGATATAAAATTAAAACACTAAATGAAATTTCATCAATGAAGAAAATGCTAAAATAGAAACTGCGTTTAAAGGCACAGAGAACAAGACGATATGAAAGGCGTTTGTAGGTTATATCACCAAAATAAAATATTCCGAATGGACCTTAAGAAATTTTATAGAGAAATTGGAAAAGCAGTTATACATGTCAAAAAGCCACCATCTATTGAAAAAGTGCAGAAATTTCGGCAGAATATTTAGAGCAGCCCGAAGGAATATAACCCAAATATAGAATGGATCCAAGGAGAAGAAGAACGAATGTTGGATAAGTATCTACAAGAATGGGAAAATATAACCACGAATAATGTTAGGCAAACGCTAACGAAATTCCAAAAATGGAAATCCCCAGGAAATGACAAGGTGCCCAATTTGTTTTTTATTGTCTGTCATCAATCAATAAATCTCTTGCACAAACTCTATCAAAGCTTATTAATAATCTCAATGAAGCCACATAATGGATCATTGAAGGTTTAACATATCTCCTACAAAAACGGTTGAAACAAATGACGCGAAAAATTATAGGCCAATAACATGTCTGCCCACCAAGTATAAATTGATCACGCCTGTCCCGATGAACCATACTTTTTCTCGAAAGACAACATTCTTTCACTGGAACAGAAAGGATATCGAAGAGATTCATATGGTTAGAAAGATTAACTACTAATAAACAAAATGATCCTAGAAAATTGCAGGAAAAGATATAGCACAACATGGATAGATTACTGTAAAGCCTTTGATAATGTGCCACACTCTTGCATCCTGAAGACTTTGTGGTAGTAAATTTCTTTAAACACAGCATGGAAGGGGGAAAGCCACCTCCAACTGCCGGAATATCCGACGTGGAATCTTTCAGGGAAACCTCCTGTCACCCATTATGTTTTGTCTGTCCTCAATTCTCCTTATGTATGAACTAAACAATAATAGCTATGGTCAAAAAAATGAACGAAAAGATATTCTTCAATCGCCTACTCTACATGGATGATATCAAACTCTTTGCCAAAGACGACAATGAGTTGAAGGGTTTCCTAAATACTGTAAAATATTTCAGTGACGACATAGGTATGGATTTGGGATTAAATAAAAGTGAAAAAGTAACATACAAGGAAGGAAGAATTACAGAAAGGCACTCAACGGATTTAGATTTTGTCACAAAGATTAAGGAACTCGAACAAGTAGAAGCCTATAGGGACCTAGGAATTAGTGAAGGAGATGGAATACAACATACCAAAATGAAGGAGAAGAAAGGAGTACTACAAACATGTTCGTCTCCTATTGAATATCGAATTCAAAGAACAAAATATCAGCCATAAACACCTAGGATGCCCCTGTGGTGCAATACAGTTACAACAACCTTTTTTGTAAAATAAAAACAAAAAACAGTTAATGAAAGAACTCCCAACACTAAGAAAACCTGAGATCAATATCGTTATTATTATTATTATTATTATTATTATTATTATTATTATTATATTTTCATTGATTTCTAGTGTATACTCATTTCTTTCCGGGTCCCAACTAGAGACCTAAGGTCATAAATTGCATCATGATATTTTTCACTGAGCAGTTTTGAAAAAAAATCATACTTATTTCACATAGATAAAGGCCTTCGTAAGGTGTGTGATGTATTACTGAGAACATGTTTTTTTTGTATATCTTTAAGGTATGGGATACCAGGAATCCCTGAAATGAGTCTGAGGACTCCAACTACAATTGCAATTGTTGATGTCCTCATATGCCACATTTTTGAGTAAAATAAATACGATATAGACGAAGACGACGAAGAAGAAGTGAAGAACATAAAGATGATGAAGACAAAGAAGAAGAAACAGATAAAAAGATAAAGAAGAAGAGAAGAAAGAAGACAAAGAAGAAAATGAGAATAAGGAAGAAAAGGAAAAGGAAGATAAAGATGAAGAAAAATAAAATAAAAAAGTAGATAAAGAAAAAGATAAAAAGATGATATAGAAGAAAATAAAAAATGAAGAAGAAGATAAAAAAAGATGAAGGAGATGAATATAAAAAGATGAAGAAGATAAAAGAAAACGAAGAAGAAGATAAAAAGATGAAGAAGAAGATAAAAAAAGATGAAGATAAAAAGGTGAAGAAGAAAAAGAAGAAGATAAAAAGATTAAGAAAAAGAAGATAAAGAAGTAGAAGAAGAAGAAAAATAAGAAAAAAAAAGGTGGCAGCGGCCATGATATTGTTGACGATTATGATGGCGTGGTTAATAATAGTTGAACTAAAAAAATAAAAATGCCGTTAATCTAATTATCGTTTGTTTTTAAATCCGAGTCGAATGGATTAATAAAGACGGCTGTTTGAAAGGGAACGTGGGAAAGTGTCATTTCAATCGAGTGGGTGACCTTTTGACAGAACCACTCACAGGTCAAATTCAGAATAACTATAGGATTCAGAAATTAGTAATCATTCTAATGAAACCAGGACTTTAATAGCATAAGATGCGCAGCTGACACCATTTTGATGACAAACACAGAAAGCAAAAACTGTGGGAACTTCTCGTCATGGTAGTGAAGGAAAGCCGGAAGAAAGGACTAACTGTCAATTCTAAGAAAACAGAATATGAATCTGTAAACAAGAGGAACTGTTCAATACGCGAACTAAGAATTCGAGACACCAAAATCAAGCAATTGGAAAAATTTTAAAATCTATAAAATGTTTCAACTAAGGGATCCGAAATTCGAAGGCGCATTTCAAATAGAGCAAAATGACTTCCAAAAGCTAAGCAATGTATCAAGAAACGGAAAACTATGTAAGAAACGAAGTAAGAACTGCTAGATAATATCAGTTTTTCTATACGGCAGTGAATGCTGGATAATTACTTTACGGAAGTAAAAGAGGCGTGATTCTACAGAAGGATACTGAGAATAACCTAAATGGAACATTTGAACCTTGAGGAGGTTTTGAGGAAAACGGAAATAAAAAGTACACTTATGCTTAAATGAGAAAGAGTCAGTAGAGATTTCTAGGACACAAAAACAAGAATAAATAATTTTGAACCCTTAATTGCTTAATTCTTGAAGTATAATTGTTACAAGGGTAAAAGAGAGAGAGAGTGAGTGTGTGAGAGAGAGAGAGACAGAGAGGGAGAGAGGATGAATGGAGGAAAGGCAGAGGTAGATATGACTTTTCTTACTAATTGTTCATCGAATATGAGTCCGAGATCCATCGAATGTAGAGACTTAATAAATGTGGTTTTATTTGGGCGTAAAAGTGGGAAATGTATTAAAATTATGAAGATATAGAAGCCATCTTATTATAATTCTGCTTGTATCACACTTAGTTCCTTATTTAGCACGACCGTTACGCCCTGCCAATACCATAGAAATAATAGACTATTCCATTTTGATCGTGTGGAAAGACGGAAAAGACATATCAGATATACTACTTGGTTTCAGTAGGAAAAAGAAAAAAAGAAAGAAAGAAAGAAAGAAAGAAAGAAAGAAAGAAGGGGATATAGTCTCTTTCGGTGAAATTGAAAAAGTTGTCAATTTCAAAATATTTCATTTCTACCTCACTTAAAATATGCACTCTCCAGGAGGATTTCAAGATGCTCCTCTCTATTCAACTATGCCTGTTTATTGGCGCTCTTTGTAGCCAAGAGATCAAAGCAAGTCAGATCAAATAGACGCAGGTTCGAATCCTGCCGGAGAGCACATATTTTTCTGTAATGAGATTTAATCCGGTAGACGAAAATAAATAAACATACTGTTTAATAACTAAACGGAGCTTCTACTTAAATACGAGTATCCACTAAAAAAAAAAAAACGTTTAATTAAGAAAAGCATTACAAACGTATTTTGTCCTTTAGGACTTCATCGGACTAAAGTGATATTTACGTTAATGCGACTACACATGCACATAAAGAAGTGGGGTAACTGAGAATTAAAAATTTAAATTATATATATATATATATATATATATATATATATATATATATAAACAAAAAAATTATACAAAGAATTAATTAGCAATGTTAATGCGTTTAAGGCGTTTCACTTCACTAACAAGGCTTAATGACACATTAACATACTGTCAATTCCTTGGTTAATAAGAATAATTAAAGATGACAATTTGAAATTGTTGAAAGTACTTGCAATGTGTCTTCCATCCGACAACAACTCGAATATAAGGATTTTATTACACAAGGAATTGATATTAAGTTAATATCTCATTAAGCCTTGTTAGCGAAGTGATTTTGCCATTACTCACATTAACATTGGTAATTAAATCTTTGTATAAATTGTTTATTTATCATATAAAATATAAGCTCAGCACTCTAATATATATATATATATATATATAAAAATGAATATTGAAGTCAACGCTCAGAGGCGACAGGCTGTTTCGTGCTAGACGCAATCGTCAGGCCGCCTGACGCTCTATCTCTGATACTGAGCACTTTTATCCCATAAATATAGCACACCTTAAAACTATATCTCTTTATATATATATATATATATATATATATATAGCATAATGAGAAACCACGTATACTTTCTTAATATGTATATATAGAAAAACTTGCAAATTAAAAAAATGTTTTTTATGAAAGTATTTATTTATTCATATATATATATATATATATATATATATATATATATATATATATATATATATAAAGGGGAAGAGAGAGAGAGAGAGAGAGAGATTGCACGAGATATTTGAGAATGCATATTTACCGGAAATAAAATGAAACAGATCAAATGCCATATTACGCGATTTGCGCTAATTTTTAACATTCATTTTTTTTAATAGTATCGCATGCATTAACAAGGAAGTTTTCAATCTGATGGTGTAAATGAAATGGTTCACGTTAGCTTTGTCATCTAGACAGCCACGTAAAATGTAGAAGAGTAAACAGGAGGGATTGGCAGGTGGCTTTGCACTCATCCCACATCGACGATGGTGTACATCAGCTTCACCAAAAGCTCGTTGGAGGGCGCCTTTTGTGACACGATGACCAGCATGAAGGTTAACCAATTGTTCCGGGTCCCAAAATAAATAAGAATATTAGGGTGATTATTATTCATATATTTATTTGTTTGGAACTGGTGGATGTCAAGGAAAGAGAGCGAGGAACATTTTCTTCAAATTCGCAGAATCTTTTTCAATATTTCTCTCAAACTTATCACTGCCATAGTCAGGATAACATCAAACATTCGACGAATCTCTAATCCACAATTACTTCACATTTGGCATTGTAACGAGGCTTACCAAATGGTATCTGCCATATCTAGTCTGAAAGTTAGTCCTGGGTTTGATGATAAACTACATCCGGTAGCAATTGGGAAATTGGAGGTTTTGATGAGCGAGGAACCATCTCTTAACTGTTGTTGTTCTCAGGTCAATCCTGATCCATGATGGTAGCACCTGTTAGGGTCCAAGCTATGGGCAAAGAGTGAAACCTCAAGCAAAAATCAAAACTTTTTTTTACAGTTAAAAATACCAGAAATACAATACTATAAAAAAAATTAACAATACATTTTTGTACCGAAATTACCAGCAATATATTTTTATTAAAAAATATTACCTATAATAGATTTTTATAATAAAGTGACAAGCAATAAATTTACATGTGAAAATGACCACAAGACATTTTATAATAAAATGACTAACAATACATTTGTATAATAAAATGACTAACAATACATTTTTATAATAAAATGACTAACAATATATCTTATAATAAAATGACTAACAATATATTTTATGATAAAATATCTAACAATACATTTTTATAATAAAATGACCAACAATACATTTTTATAGCAAAATAACAATGAATACAATACTAAAAATATAAATATATTCCTTTGTAGTAAAATTACTACCGATATATTATTAAAAACATAACATCAATAAATTTTATCATTTAGAAACTACATATCTAAAAAAAAAAAACGGTGCCTTAAAAGTACAAAATTATATATAAAATATCTAGTTGAAGGCATAAAACTGCTTAAAAATATTTAGATTTCGGCATTAAATAACGCATAAAAGTTGATATACAGGTGAACAAAATCAACCCACCCAAATATCTGTCAAGTTATAATCGTTTCAATTTCATCAAAACTCGCACTTGTTTAATAATTTATTTTCAGATGATCAATACTGGAGAGTTTATTTTTCTGCTTCTTTTTATTGAATGTTTTAAAGGATATGTTTAAATGAAGCTCTTTTTCAAAAATTACCCATATCAAGTGGACTTGGAGGGGGCCCTAATTCAGTCAAATTAACACATTTTTTCCATATTTTTTACCCTATTCGACAGGACATTGAATAACGCTAACAAGATAAGCCCAGGACAAAATTGTTCTCCTTTTAAGTTTAAGTTTCCAAATATTAAGACAATTTATATCCGTAAAATGTGAGAAAATGGTTCTCGGAATGAATATACATTCATGTGCAAATGAATTGAAACAAAACGAATAATTACGTTATTATTTACTTTTTTTTTCGTATTTTTCCAATGAAACATGAACCAGTGCACATTTTACTAATTCGTATAGCCATTCCACAAAGTTGTTCCTTGCAGATTGACCACAGATTCTCAATTTGATTTAAATCAGGAGATTTTTCCGGGTCAGTCTATAGTACTTAGATTAGATCACTGGTAAGATTTGCTAGTGTGTCCGTGTAGTGTTTCGTACGCTGCCTTGTAGTAACGTCCATCGAAGGCAATGGCCGTAGGACAACTAATCAATACTTGAGACAATAGTGTCTGGGCGTGATGAAAGTCTGATGCAATCACGAATGACTCAATATTTTTCAAGGCCAAACAAATTTCATCATACACCCCGAAAATAGATTCAAATTACTGCACAACACCGCAAATGGCCTAATCTGAAGGAAAAATAGAAATCGATTTACCCTGTTACTATAGTGGGTCTAAAACTGACCGTATGATGAAAGAAAGGAAACTAAAGCGGTTGTTTCAATTAATTTTTACAATGGTGTATTTAAAATGCACTCGTTAAACTGATAAATCATTTCGTATTATAAGCCGGACACCAAATATCAGTGCTCGACGTAACTTGTATCTATCAGAGAATCATGATCTAGACATCATTTCCTATGTATATTGGAGTGCTAAATGACATTGGAATTCCTTAGTCTAAGTGCGATAAATACGATATTTATTTTCTTTTTGGAAATCATGTCTCTTGGTTACTGTTGTGGTGTTCTCCCTCTAATGAGGCTATCGTAGACTCTTCCACTTACTATAAAGTACTAGGGAAGTAAGCCTTAGGGGAACCGTGATTTAGACTGTTCTACCGAGGCTGTGACTGTTCGCAGCTCCTGTCGAATTCTCTGCTTTGGGCAGAGAGGAACACGGACGAGGCTTTGTGCCACATGTGCCTTGGTACTTGCTTTGTCATTTTTTAACCATTTTTGGTCACAACAATTACAGACAAAGGTTTCTTGACCTGAACACCTATTTATTAATTATCAATTGAAGAGTTCGGTTTTTAATCTTCCTCTTATGTGCAAATAACATTAATTCAGTTCCACAACTGAACTCTAAATCATTCAGTTGTCTCAAGAGCCACCAATGTCCACTTAGCTCAACCAGAAACTTCATGAGGCAACAAGTTATTTTTACATCAGAAGATCAAAACATATGCAACTAGGAAGAAAAAAATGTGGTCACTCTATAGATAGAAATATACGCAAAACTATTTTTTTACAATGAGGTTCACTCTGTACAAGGCCCGGTGGGGTGAGGGAGTTTTAAGAGTTTGACCGTTACAGTAAGAAGCAATTTATGCGGATAGGTGTGAAAGATAACGGTTAACGCTAGACTTCAACAGGTTAAGATTGTAGTGGTCGAGGAGAGATCCTCTTGAGAGTCTGTTCCACAGAGTAGCGGTTCGCAAGAAGAAGCTGTTCGAGTGGAACTTATTTCTCACCGATGGAATACGCAGGGAATGAGGGAGGTTTGCTACAATGTAAGTGGCATGGCGAGTCCTAGACCTAGAAGGTCAGAACTGGCGGAGAAGAGCCTTAAAATTGACTTCTGAAGTTGCTGCTGCTGGCTGTCATAGTTTGGGTGTTGTTGCTGCTGCTGTAGGAGATTTGCTGTCAGTTGTCTTTCTTTCTTTATTAGCTGAAGATTAAATAAAAGGTTCAGTTCAGAATTCCTTGTATGTTACCCAGATCGACATACCCCTGAGGAATGACCGAAAGCACAACGACCGAAACGTTGTGATAAAGACAACAACGATGAGGACAATAGTCCGAATATAAATAGTGTAAATAATGGATATTTTGTATTTGTTAAGATTGTATCTACTAATAATAAATCCTGTATGGACTACTAGTTATCTTAGGATTGCCTTGCTGTAAAGAGTTAAATAAATCCGAGAACTGTTTGCCCACGGAGATCAGAATTCACTGTAGGTTACCCAGGCCGACGGAAGGTCGGAGAGCGCAACGACCGAAACGCAGTGATAAAAACAACAAAGACGTGGACAATATTCTGAATATAGTGTAAATAAGTATGAAACTTGTGTACAATATTATTTTGGTCATTATTATTATTATTATTATAAATATTTATTTTAGTTGGTACACATGTTTGAGTTAAACATCTCTGTTTTATTTTGTTTTTCTTTTAAATTGTAAAATTTAAAGTCAGACACCGATGATAGCACATGTAACATCAACAACACTAAATTCCCAGTCCTATCTCCTAACATTATATCGACAAATTTTGAAAATAAATTACTTATCCACATAAGTAGGGTCCTTAACACTACCTCAACATAATCGGATATACAATTAGAAGATATATATATATATATATATATATATATATATATATATATATATATATATATATATATCAGTGGTATGGATATGAGTTTGTAACCCTGGGTTTCACTCTTTTGCGATCAGTAGATATGTTGATTCCGAGTTGAAATCCGGTACCAATAAATGACAAACGCCAGGAATGAATATATGAAAATAATGTATTAACGTGATAATACAAACTGGTAAAGCAGGTTAGTAGTTCCAGGAATACGTGTTAGTAGCAAAATATATATAGAGTCTTTGGTATTGAAGTATCGCGGTATGACTTCTTACTGAGTCTACGTGCTCGTTCACTGTGACTCCTACAACGCTGTTACCTCACCCCTCACTCTTCCGGTTACCTACAACCTTTTACTCTCGACTCGATTCCTCGGTCGTGCTCTCGTCTCGCTCTTGCAGTAGAGTGGAAAGGTGGACCCTTCAACAAGATAAATTGATTTATTTTAAAAAATTGAATCTATTTAGATAAATAGATTAAAAAAAAAATTATTTAGATAACTAGATTAATTTATTTACATAAATATATGCAATTAAATTTGAATCAATTTAGATAAACAGATTCAAAATTTTATTTAGATAAATAGATTCAATTTTTAAAAAACTTGAATCTATCTAGATAAATAGATTATATTTTTAAAAAATAAATCAATTTGTCTGATGATCGTAAAAGTGTGTATGTCAGGGTTACAAACTAATATCCATACAACTGAATATGTTAGCTCTATCACTGATATTGAGCATATTCCAATATGTACTGCGCATATATATATATATATATATATGTGTGTGTGTGTGTGTGTGTGTGTGTGTGTGTGTGTATGTATGTATGTATATACCGGGTATTACAGAAAAATTGTCCAAGTCGTGTAACAAGATGGGATAATGTTTAATATCTAAAAAAAAAAAAACACGAACTGAGTTCTTTTTTTTCAGGTCTTCTGATAAGACATTTAGTCATCTTGACACCATTTGTCGTAAGAATCACTGAAATACACCTTGAGATATTCAGCTAGAAAGATTAAAATCATTTTGTGTCAACACAACTGCCTTTCCAACTGAGCAATGGTGAGGGGAAAAAGATTATTCAAGCCTTCAGTAATGGTACCAACATTCATACTCTGGCTTCCATCTTCAAAGTTTATTCAAGAACTGTCAAGAGAACGGTGAATAAGTTTAAAAAAGAGGGAACAGTAGAGAGGAAAACTGGATCCGGGGGGTAACAACAGCAATAGTGATCATCATTAGAGCTAAATACATTTTATTGTTCAAAGTGGATATATATAATATATTATAATATATATATATATATATATATATATATATATATATATATATATATATATATATATATATATATATATATATATATATATATATATATATATATATATATATATAAAGGCACGGTGGAGTTGTGGATAGTGGCTTGGATTGAGGAATCGGAGAACCGAGTTCGAATTCCAGTCGAATCCATTACATTCACTTAAGTGCTAATACCCTTGGCAAAGGTGTGAATCATCTTCTTCTCACCACCAGCTATGGGTAAATAGCGGGACAGACTGGGTTCTATAGCCTTGGATGGCAACTGATCTAGGAGAAGGACAACTCTGAATTAAAAACCTGCGGAGGGTCGTTTGGGAACCTTGTGGCACTTAGTGCACCGAGTCTCTGTATTCGGCCCTTCAAAATGTGTGGATGGTCCTGCACGAAACCTTCACCACTATCATCAAATCTCATGTGCTGGTGTCGGCTTGTCAGTTTCTTAGGAACTGATCTGCTTGACCCTCATACGTCGAATTCGACAGAAGAGTCGAGTATATATATATATATATATATATATATATATATATAGAGAGAGAGAGAGAGAGAGAGAAAGCGAGAGAGAAAGAAAGAGAGAGAGAGGAAGATAAAGAAAGAACGTTGATTCCTATGTCCACATTGTCTGCATCTACTCACATTCCAATTTTAAGTATTCTTTTCCGCACATTTTAAAATAACAAACATATCCATACGAGCATGGACACACACACACACACACACACACACACACACACATATACAAATATATATTCATTTCTGTAGATACACGAAGTTCAAACAATAAAGCTGTTGCCTTACCTAAAGTTATTTACAGAATTTTGACCTGAAATATTCACTGTACAGTTTTCGATATATATGATAATATTTCAACGAATTAAGTGCATCGGAAAAGAAGATTATGTTAATACAAGCTAGACACCGCCATCTGTTTGCGATTAATTTATGAGGCGGAATTGTGGGTGACTGTCTGATAGGTTCTTATACTCCCAAAGCACGTCTTACAGGAGCTGTCTACAGGGACTTTATTTCGAACACACTTCCAGACCTGCTAGAGGATGTACCCCTGCTAATACGAAGATGCATGTGCTTCATGCACGATGGGGGCACCAGCATATTTTAACTACACCGTACGCGATGCACTGGCTGAAATCTACGATGAAATATAGATAGGAAGGGGAGACCCGGTTCCATGGCCTGCACGTTCCTCAACCTCAATTCTTTGGATTTAAATCTGTGGTGCCACCTACAACAATTGGTTTATGCTGCCGACATTAAAATGCAGACGCTTCTTCAACTTGTCATGCGGGTCTGCGAAACCATTCGACACCGTGTGGGAATATTTGAAAGAAAAGCGAGTCAATAATCCGACAGGTGCATACGTGGCAAGAAGAGAGTGGAAGACATTTTGAACATTTGTTATGAGTTTCTGTGCTGAGGTACAACCGATGGCCTTTTGGACACACTGTTTATATGGACATTTTAGCTTGTTTTGATGTGAGGAAGCCGTCCCCAAAGTCTGTAAAGTATTTTTGATACACCCTTTATATATATATATATATATATATATATATATATATAAGAGACATGCAGACATATATACATACAGATAGATAGATAGATAGATAGATATAAACAGAATGAGATTGATAGATATATATGAACAGAATGAAACAGATATATATATATATATATATATATATATATATATATAGATAGATAGATATGAATAGATTGAAATGTAAACAGAATGAGAATGATACGTAGATATGAAGATAGATAGATAGATAGATAGATAGATAGATAGATATAAACAGAATGAGATTGATAGATATATATGAATACAGATAGATATGAACAGAATGAGACAAACAGATAGATAGATAGATAGATAGATATAAACAGAATAAGATAGAGAGAGAGAAAGAGAGAGATAGATAGAGATAGATAGATAGATATGAATAGACTGAGATAGATATAAACAGAATGAGATTGATAGAAATATATGAACATAAATAGATATGAACAGAATGAGACGGATAGATATGAACAGAATAAGATAGATAGATAGATAGATAGATAGATAGATATGAATAGACTGAATGAAATTGATAGATATATATGAACGTAGATAGATATGAACAAAATCAGACAGACAGACAGACAGACAGATAGATAGATAGATAGATAGATAGCTAGCTTTCTTTCTTTTTGTCTTTATAGTCTTAACGTTTCGATCGTCGCACCTTTCAGCTGTAACATTGTGGGTATAACAACCAAGATGAAGACACTCGTACAAATAAATCCGAAGAGCATTATAAAGTCCTGTGGTCTAAAAAGTCCCGACAAATATCGATTGTCAATTTCTTTCATCGTTAAATTGTCCTGGCTAATTGTTAGCTTATGAGAAACTAAAGCAAGGAAAATGTATGAAAGGTATAGTTGTTTTCACCCATGGCATTTTTTTTAATGGCTGGCTGCGACCGTCGATGACACCTGCCGTTGGATTATCAAGTTGCTGGTCGGGGGTCGGTAGCAATGGGAATTCATACCTGAATCAAGTTGTAATCGCCGAGGCCCAGCCTCCCTGAGACCGACACGCTATTTTGAAAGCCGCTTTCAACAATGCACCTGTCTTTATCATTTACATTTCTTCATTGGTTATTGCTATTTTTATTTAATTATTTTTAAAAAATAAAATTGACTCAAACAGATAATAGGTGAAAGGGGCAGTGTTTACAGTGTCAAGTTTGTATATATTTAAATCGTTCGGACAGTTGTTCTCATATTTATTGCTATATTTACGACGTTTCGATCATTGTAGACTCCGACCTTCTTCAGGTGATATACGTTGGAATTTCCCCAAGGAGACAGTGAATAAATGCTTTGGTTGAGTAATCCAAAAACTGACTGACCCAAAGTGTTGTGAGTTCAATACCTGGACACAGCAGTTGAAACAAAAACTTGTAGTTTTGATTTACTGATACTGTGATATCCAAAAAAGCCATGACATGTGGAATTAGTACAATCTACCCCTCCTTGGACTAAAGATTCCAAACGTATATCACCTAAAGAAGGTCGGAGCGTACAACGGTGTAAATAATTACAATACCTCATCTCATAACGACAGATACAAATTTGTATATTTACGAATAGAATTGTATTAGCTTAGGGTATTTTTCAATGTTACCGAATGTAACACAAGGTCACGAGGTTTAAAAAGGGTTTGTTGTTGTTGATTTGTTGTTATTGATTTGTTTACCGGCATATCAACATCTCTATGGGTTATTTGATGTCGAAATCTAAATATTCTGAATGCAATTTTATGGATTCGATTGAAAATATTTTTTGTACATAATTTTATAATTTGAGTAAAGGTAGTTTTTTTTTTTACATATATCACTTGTAGATCATGAAATATATTGTTGGTAATTTTACTATAAATATGTATTATTATATTCTTTTTAGTGTTGTATTAATTGTAATTTTTCTATAAAAAAAGTATTGTTGCACATTTTACGATATAAATGTACTGAATTTCGTTTGGGGTTTCACTATTTGCCCATAATTGGGACCCTAGCAAGTGCTACCACCCCGGGTCAGTATGGACCTGGAAACAACAGAAGTATAGAGATGGTTCCGTGCTCCTGAAAACCTCCAATCTCCCGATCAGAAGCCTTGCCGCCTGTTATAATTTATCCTCATACTCAGGACTAGATTGTCTACAATAACTTGATAGTGGTATAGAGTGTTAAAAATAAAGGTGACTTAGGATGATTTTTTTTTTTTTTAGTTATTTTTAAGTTCGTTTTATCAGCTGTTAATTACTCTATATATGGGGCTAGTTTTGTTTACGAAAACGACGGTGAGTTTGTCGGAGTTAGCCCCTCCTTAATTCCATAATTGTTCACTAGGGGTCTCTCTCCCTACACTATAAATACTGGGCGACTTCTTGCCTCGATCTCTCTTTCCTAAAGGCCTCGTGCCGCATCCCACCTCGCGTGGAGGTGAGGTAAATCCTCATTTTTCATTTCTTCATTTCAGCGACTACCTCTACAATGTGAGCTCTCGCAAACGACAGCGCTTCCTATTTGTGGGAGACGCCATGAACATTATACACACATGCACGCACGTACGAACATTCACCAAAGAATAAACACAAATGTTCACACACACACACACACACACACACACACAAATGTTAATGTCTATCTGCCTTGTAAATTTGTTGTTTAATACATATATTTGTTGACATATATATATATATATATATATATATATATATATATATATCGGTCTTGTTTGTTTTCTTTTCATCTTCAGTTGGACAATTTGAGTCCGGCTATTTTCTTGTAGTTGGACCTTCTTCTAGCAGGAATAAATAGCACGCGTTTCTAATACAAAAACAAGCAAATCACACGGTCGTCTACAAGTTTTCACTTAATTACCACTATTCAAACTTTATCGGGATAGAGTCTATGCCATGGAAAATGGCTGTTTTTAAGTGAAATAAAGTGGGGAAAGATTTATAGAATTTTTCAGAGGAGACGCTACAATCATAATGAGAAAAGAATAACTTGTAAAAGCAGGAATTTAAAAAAAAACATACAGAAAAGAAATGAAAAGCAGAAAAAAGCGGGGTAAAAAAGAAATGGACAAAAGAAATGAAGAAGAGAAAAGAAAAGAAGAAAAAAAAAGCAAACGAGGATGCATCATGAATGCAGATGACAATTATGATTGTAAATTTGCTTTGGAGAACTTTGAAATTCCTTGAAATACGGTAACAATTTGAAAACAATACCTCTAATAAAAAAAGAAAAGAAAAAAAACATCACTAGCATTTTATTAAAAGAGCAGAAAAAAAAAACAGTTAAAAAATGAACTTTAGAATTTTTTTCAATTTAAAGTTATAAATAAAGTTTTAAAAATAAACCTTGCAAAGCAAATCGAGGCGGCTATATTGTTTACTGGGCAGTTGTCACCATCTTTAATTAGACAAAGGAAAAAAAAAAGCATACTGAAAAATTAAACAAATCACTCGACCGTGAAAAACACAGTCTGGTGAAGGTGACCGAAAAGAGGTTATGGGTAAATTTACAATCGATATTTCCATCAGTTGTGTGCGAAACTGCTAAACATCCATTTTATTTTTAGAACGTGTTTGCAATGCGCATGTGCGTCTATGCCTGCCAGTCATTTTGAAGCAATGGTATAACTTATTTAAAACTTCTCGTTGTTAGTATTCCTTTCAGCCGAGTTTATCTCTCGATCTTAATCATTTTCTTACTGGATATCTTGTTTACGGTTTTATATAATAAACATGATTGAATTGTCTGTAATTATTAAAAATATTGTATGCTTTTGGAGTAATGATTGATGACTTTTAAAAGTTTAACAAAGGTTTAATAGACAGGAAAGTTTCATTAGAAAAATAGAGAAGAAGAATAAAATGTTATGTAATATAAATCCTCCTATATGGTAGTGAATGCTGGACAATCTCCTCAGAGAAAAAGAAGAGACTTGAGACAACGGAGTTTTGTCTCTACAGAAGGATGCTGAGAATGCCACAGACTAAAGATATGACTAATGAGGGAGTTTTAGGAAAAATGAAAAATAAAATATTCTTAGAATCAGAAAAGACAGCTAGAATTTCTAGAGCACATAATAAGAAAAGATGACTTTGAAAATCTGGCAAATCTTTCAAGCGAGAAACAGATAAACATCGAGCAATCTACATAACGAGCTTGGGTAGAGATTAGGAAAGCCAAAAGACAAACACTACTCAGATCTACAAAGTACATAAAGTTGTGGAGAGATTAAACATGTGTGTAAATATTACTAAGAGCTACAGTGGATAAGAAGATGTGGAGGGCCATTATAAACCTACCTAACAAACTTATGTAAACAGATGGCCGAACAGAGAGTAGGATGGATGGTGAAAATATAAACATTACTAAGAGTTACAGTGAATAGAAAGTTGTGGAGAGCCGTAGTCAATCGAACGAACATGTGTGAATGGATGGCCGAATAGAGAGTGGGATGGATGGTGAAAAGATAAACATTACTAAGAGCTACCATGGATAGGACGTTGTGGAGAGTCATGATCAACCTACTTACCAAGTTCGTGTAAATAAACAGCAGAACAGGGAGTGGGAAGGATGGTGAAAAGATAAACATTACTAAGAGTAACAATGGATAGGAAGTAGTGGAGAGCCGTATTCAACCGAACAAGGTTGTGTAAATGAATGGCCGAATACAGTGTGGGATGGATGGTGAAAATATAAACATTAATACGAGCTACAATGGATAGGAAGTTGTGGTGAGCCGTGGTCAACCTAACAAGCTTGAAGAAATATATGGCCGAACAGAGAGTGGGATGGATAAATAAATAAAATATAAATATAAACATAAGTAAAAGTTACAATGGATAGGAAATCGTGGAGAACCATGATCGACCATATCTTGAAGGAGTCTGGAAATGAGAAGTTTATATCAAGTGGAAGGAGCATGTAAGAATCGATGAAAATTTAAGGATATGAAAAAAACAACAACTTTTAATCAAGGCGATAATGCCACTAAGGCGCAATGGCCTACTGGGAATGAATGAGAAAGGGAAGACTTTAAAAGGAACTGAAAACACAACCCTGAACAGGAAACAAGGGATAAACCTTTATTCCTGTTTTAAAAAAAAACAAAAAACAATAACGTATTCTTGGAATGAGAATGAGATTTTTGAAATTATTAATGAAGAGGGCTTGAAGAATTTGACACTCAGAGGACATATTGAGACAAGAGGGACACAGAAAAGGCGTGTAACCTACCTAACAAGTTTGGGGACTCTCCGGAATCAGTTCAACAAAGCAGCGTTTCTGGGAAGGAATCAGTCAGAATAGAACGTCTTTATAACTAACTAAATACAAAAAGAATGAGGATGAGTTGTATCAGAGGAAACAACGTGTGAACTAAAGCAAAAGTAACAGCAACAACTAATACTACTACTACTACTACTACTACTACTAATAATAATTTGCATAATATTCTACTCGTACTGTTATCCCCTTTTTTGTTATCTTTACAACATTTCGCTGAACTCACGAGGCAATATCGTGGTTGGTTAAAGCTTTGTTTTGTAAATGTGGTGGTATAGTAATTGTGAGTTCAATCCCTGGGCCAGGTTAGTACAGATTCGGACTCAGTGGAAACTGGCAGAGCAGTAACTGAGCAGAAGTGAAAATAGACAAAAACATGAGAAAGAGAACAATCTACTCCTGTAGATTGAATAAAAGGTAGAGCCCAAATCTCTCTGAAGATTTCCTCGGATCTACAAACACCTGACGAAGGCCAGCGGCCACAACAGTCGAAACGTTTTGACAATAACAACAAAACCAGTAAAATTGTCCAAATATAAATGGTGTGAATAAAGGCAGCCCCTCGTCCCAGAAATTCAGGCAAAAATTGCAAAAGTTTACTTTGTTCAGAACTGCACACATCATCTTAAAGCTTCCCCAATGTGCAGAGAAAAACTCACCTACAGTGTCACTTTTACTCACAGAACCCGGATGGAACTTGGTAAATAGGCACTTAAAATTAGTGTCTGGCAAGATGATACTATACATAATAATAATAATAATAATATCTGGGCGTGGTCAACTGGCGCTAACAGAGTACTTGCAGCATCATAGGGCTGCACGGTACATACATTGGTCAAAAGGTCGCGAATTCAACCTCCATTGCAAAGAGAATTACTGGGAACATAAGCCACCACATGCTGTGAAAAAAATAAGATATTACCATCCTTTTGAATTTCCAAGTTAATATGTACAGGGGAATCCAGGTAATCGACCAGACAGAATTGCGAAAGATCAAGTTGAAAATACATGTCTGCTAATAGATGTTGCAGCTCCAGCCGAACAAAAACATACCACTGAAAACATTTGGAAACAAAATCCAGAGACGAATATGCAAGATGATAGGTCCTGATCTGGCAACTAGTCTACAATCGTTATCCTACAGACATGTCGTAACCTCCCTCTGTCTCTTCTACAAGTATTTTCATGGCAACTGTTCCGACGAGCTACTTTCGCTGGTTCCCGGACTGCATGAATTTAAGTGAGTTACCAGGCTGGCATCTCGGTCCCACTCTTTCACTGTCGGTTAAATGTAACCGTCTCTCTTACTCAAAAAGCTTCTTCTCCCGCACTTCCTGTCTGTGAAACTCCCTTCCCCTTACTTGCTTCCCAGATGGCAATAATCTTGAAATATTCAAGTGTAATGTCAATCGACATCTGACACCCTGAGCTTTTTCCCCGTCCTTCTCTGTATCTTTTCCGCAAACATGCCTCCTTATTTTGTTCCCAATCCTCTGTAACCCCTTGCGTTCTAGTGGCACTCCCGCCTTACTTGGGGTGAATTGCTTTAAAAAAAAAGTAAAGACAAGAATCTTTAGGCAGAAATCTGTAGAATTTGACATTTCAAAAACAAAATAAAAATTACCTGTTGTTATTGGGGTTTTGGAAATGATGACAAAAGGAACAAACAAATATGTGGGTTGATTTCCCGGTAGCTATAAAATATGGGAATTGCAAAAAAAAAAAAAAAAAAAAAATTCATACCTACAGTTACTTCTCAAATATTGCGTTGATTTTTTTCAGTACGGGAATCATATATTTTGTTTTGATTTCTAATTGCATGTTTTTTTTATAAACCATGGTTCTTCAGGCGATCATAGCTCTCCATAATTTCTCGTACTTTGTAGCTCTGAAAAAAACGATGTCTTTTTGTTATTTCTCCTAAACCTTATTCTGTCATCAATTTACCCAAGCTTACTAAGCATGTTATGCGTTGTTTTCTTCTATCTCTCTTGCCTTCAATCTGTCCTGTGAGTATCAGATTCTCCAAGCCCTCTTTCCTTATTATGAGCCTTAAACGTTTCAACTCTCCATTTCCAATGTTAAATATAAGTTTCCTTTTTGTTTCCATTTTTCTTTAAAAATTCGTCGCTGCTCACGTTTTTGGTCCATGGTATCCTCAGGATCCTTCTGTAGAAGTACATTACTATTGCTTCAAGTCTCTTCTTCATCGATAAGAAGATTGTCCAGCATTCACTGCTATATAGGAAGACTGATATTATTATTTTGAAGTAACTTTTAAAATTACTGGGTTTTAACTGTATTTAAAACCCAGTAATTTTAAAAGTTACTCCAAAATTCGCTTGAGGAAAAAATGGAACTAATGTCCTTAATTTAATTACAAAATTAAATTCGGGGCTTTTAGCTTCCATTTTTGAAACATGGTTAGAACTGTGTAGCGGAAAAAAACATATTTTAAATCAATTAATTTATAATATATATATATATATATATATATATATATATATATATATAAAGTGAACATTGAAATCAACACACGCTCTATCTCTAATGTTGAGCACTTTATCCCGTAAATATAGCACACCTTAAGAGTATATTTCCTCACACACACACACACACACACATACATACATACATACATATATATATATATATATATATATATATATATATATATATATATATATATATATATATACCCACATAGTTGGATTTTATCCAGACCGGTGACCTTTGTCGTCTTTTGATAAACCTGGAAGCTTCCCGTGCCGTGGTACAGATATTCCAATCTTTGTGCTCTTTGAGAAGAGGGAAGTCAGGTAAAGGGGTAGTTCTTGTTTTCTATCG